TTTAGATTATGTTACTAGTCATCGAACTAAAGGTGAGGCTAAATGAATATGTACTTTGGATTTTGAACTGGTTGTTTGAATCTTCCCACTGATGTTTAGGACTGCAATTGGCCAAACTCTTATGGGTATATGTGTATCCTGTGAGCAATATCAAAGTAATCTGCACAAGATGGGCATATACCAACAGGAGACTGATCATTTGCAGTCCTAAATGTCAATGGGAAGATCCAAACAATCAATACAAAAATCACTTAGACTTCACCCGACTGCACAAACCAGCGACTGCCTGGGCTCAGTAGCTAAGTGGGTAAGGCGATCACATCTTGAAACGAACGGTACTGGATTCCCGGAGTAAACATCAGTTGTGGGATGCAGGCACGTCCAGATGACGAGTCCTAGACAGGACAAAACATGTGCCCTAGACTTTACTGTTAGCCACAATCTATCTCTGCTTATAATTCTGTACTTTGTTACCTTGAAAAGTTTAACAATTAGATTATATTAGTTTTGTAAAGTGTCATACCAATTGAAAGGGATAAAAATTAGTTTCGTTCTTTTTTGATTTCACATCCAGCAATATACTTGAATGAACAACAAATAGTTCGAAGGAGTTCGGATTTCTATGATTAGTCCGTTTACTTTATTAAAAGAAGAATTCCTGACCTGACTAATTTTTTATGATTGTACCTCTGATAGAGTTTGAAGGATCATTGGATTCTCAGTGTTTTGAAGACCATAGCTCAACTTGAGGTAAAATTATTCAGAGACCAGAGTTAAAGAAATATTAAAATTCATGTCCCAATGTGTCTTGACTTCATATCAAATGTGTGATTTAACTTGTAATTATGAGTTCTATTCCATTTTTATCAGTCAGTACGACTTGGTACGTAAGTATATATTCATATACCCATCTTCAAGTCACAACCGTGGTTGAGGCTTAATCACATACTCTAAGTTCCAACAAGGTTCGGATTAGCAACTTAAGAGTGGAAAGTCGAGTGATAGCTATCCAGTTATCGATCCGTCCCTTGGTGATCAAACTTACAACTTTCTGATACATTTCTGTTGAATACACATTCCATGAACTACATTTGTTTTGCTCATTATATATTGTATGGTTTTTTAGAGGATGGACTTCGATCATTTAAGCTTTTTTCTCTGTATATAATGTGGTTACTAGAATTAGACATGTTAAACCTTTGAATCACAGAAAACTGTTTTTGTGAACTGATTATTTACGTAAAAAACGCATTTCTACTCAATGCAAATTTTGTTTACATTGAAACAAATTGAATTTTGATTCTGTTCAATTCTCGTTTCAAGTAGAACATTTTTTAGTTGAATGATGTACTCATAAAAATATGTGAGCTCGCGCTCGACAGGGGGAAAACACAAGTGGAGAATAGGAATAATATACAAGAGGGAAGAAAGCAACTCCTATCCTTTCTCTCTTCAAATATATATACATGTATTTTCTAGTACATCAACTAATTGAAGAGACAGATAAGTACTCGTATCAAACAAGGCAAAAAACAACAAATTTTAGTTGGGATGGTAACCTGGATGTGGATAGGCCAAAAAAAAAACAATTGATTACTTTCTCTTACTTGCCAGTGTCCGTGTGTATTTACTATGGATCTATGTATCTTACATCAATTTGTTTTTTGCCCCATTGTTTCTCATTGTTTGGGGTCTGACTGAAAATATAGATCGCATACACACATCCAAACATATATATATATATATATATATATATATATATATATATATGCTCTCACTTCTCTAATGACCTCAGGCAAGCTTAGTTGATGAAGAGTTTATTGTTGGTTGCAGTTTGATTACATAGTACTGTTGATCCTATTATATCTACTGCTGTTATAACTTTAAATTTAGGTCAGAGTCACCAGGTGGGCAATCTTTATTATAAATCTTAATGTTAGTTTATTTGCTTATTTATTAGTTTTTTTAAGTACCACGCGAAATAGATTTTCCTATTTAAAAAATAATTCTGCTAATCATGGATACTAAATTCCAAGAGTTATTTTATTTAGTAACAAATATTATATACTTCTATTTTTTATATGAAACAAAATAAAAATCAGTGTTAGAAATTCTGTTCACTTTCAACTGTGCAAGAAATTAGATGTTAGACTAGTTATCACTTAAATGATGATACCACCAATTTAAAATAATGCAGTGTCTATATATTTTTGTCTGTTAGAGAAATTGAAATTCTGTTGAAGAGTAACATAGTAGGGCGAAACAAATATCATGGTGCCTCTTTGTTTTCTATGATTTTCTTCAACTAATTTCAGTTTACAAAATATCAACCTTATGAAAGAATTGGGAACTTTAATAGGATGTTTCAGTGGGAATTAACAGATGAACTAACTGAAATAATCTACAAACCTCTTTTATATACTGAAAAAAATTAATACTTGGATAAGTTAAATAATATAGATGAATATTTTAAAGGTAAAGGTGAGATAAATCAACATCTGTAGTGATAACTAAATAGAAGTCGTTTGAATTCAAGAATTTAAAGATTACACTAATGTAATATAATACTTACTAGAATAAAAACGGATTAATTATCATTGAATTACTGATTACGAACAAAAATTTTCTTATCAAAATTTTTATTTGTTTAAATAATAAAATTTATAGGTAATCTGATATCCTTTCACTAGAGATTAATTATACCCTTAAATATTCCTAAAACAGTTTTAATAAAATATAAAATTTTATTTAAAAGTACTTTTGTATCCAATTTTTCTACTTTATTTAGTTATTCAAATTTGATTTTGATATCTGAACTGGACTGTTGGTCATCAACCAACATTGACAAATATGATTATTTAGTAACATGTATTATGAATTTACTTGAGACATGAACATCACATCCAAATGAAATAAATCTATAATTCCAATAGCACAGGAATCGTTTTCTGAATGAAAATCAATAGAATTTGTTCCGGTTCCAAGTCCAATAAAGACATAATAAACTGACTGCAGTTAACGTTACAGAATAAAATCTGACGTTGGTTAATCTGTACAACTATTGATTCTTTTTTACTTCATCTAGTCTCGTTGGCGGTTGTCACTTGACAAAGAAACGGCTCAGCAATAACTTTTGAGAATAAATCACTCAAATTTTGATATGACTAAAGGTATGACTTAAGTGGTTTAAGACTATAGTTTTGGCGATGAAAAGCAAAGGAAGACCAGAGTTATTTGTTAATGAGCTTAAAATATTTAGCACTGCCAATTGTAATTACTTCATAACCGAAAATTGGAAAGAAGTAATATCATAAAGACCATTCACCATAATTAACCTGTTGAATCCGCTTGAGGATTCGAACCAAACGACTAAGTGATGCGTTAAACCCTGAAATAAAAACACGAGATTTCTTTACAATACTCCATTATTATCAATAATGTTCAAAACTAGTGGATTTTATAAATCTTGGTTCACTAGGTGTTTAGATCGCTTATACGCGTCAAGGTAAAGAAAAAGAAGAAGTGTTTTCCGTAGTAGTTGTCTAAGAATTATTTACAAGAAATGTTCAGTAAACTAAGTAACAGCCAGATATATTAACCCAACGATGGCAATCAACAAATCGAAACGAAGACTGCGCAATGGAATTATGGAAACCGGCGAGACTCTAATTTAGGGACGACCTTTGAACGAATTTTGAGTCACCTTGAGAATAATAGCCAATCAAAAGATACCTAGTACAACGTAGAAATATATTAGAAGATACTAATGGATTACAGTGAATATACTTCTTTTACATGATTTAAAAACTTATCAATGTTTGCTAAAGTTTCAGATGTTTTGAAATCATATTGCATACGGTATAAAAAGTCATAAATTCCAAGTACCTGTCGAGTATATTTACGGAAATGCTACTTACACAATCCTACTTTATACTACGTCCCCTGTTGTATTTTCACTTTCTCACTGCCGTTTTATCTGTCTGCACGATACATCCTACTCCTCCGAATGATTGGTGTACAAGTGTTATTTTAGTTGCACGGCAGTACTCATACACTGGACTGCTGAATTTTCATAAACAACTGCAAACGTCGCAGCCAGTGTTACTGGTGTATTTATTACCCAATTTGCAACTATTATCATAATCTGATTCAGTTTCAGTAGCAATCGAGCAAAGAAAGTCCCCGTCCTAGCAGACTTTCTCCTCCAACATGAAGGACAACGAAATATAATCTCACCGCGGTTATTTGCACACTTTACTGCAGTCATTTGATATCCGCAGTCTCACGTACAAGAACTTTTTAGTAATCCTATACCTTGTAGCCTCTCAATAATCACCCCTTCTCTAAAATCCGCTGTAAACCGATTATATGTGAGCATCAGGTGTTAAACTTGGCTCCGTGACCTTGAAGTGGCTCAAACGCTTCTGATTGGCTCGTCCCTAAATTAGAGTCTCGCCGAATACAATTACAATAATAAGTGGATTAAATGTCACAGACTCATGTAAATATTTTGAATGATCAGAAAACGACCTACAAGTAATTTGGTATGTTCAGAAATGATTGACATTCATATAAGCTACTCCATATTAGTAAGTAGTATATTGCGATACACAAAAAGGAAAGAATGGGAGTGAAGGTAGGGTTGACCAAACCATCGAATCGATAACATAATATCAAGAGTCGCGGAGTCCTCAGTTTTGATTGTATTTAATAGGAAAGAGGTTATATTATGAAATACTAGACTGAAAGACAGTGATACAGACGAACGTGGCATAGACTCATAAAGTCATTGACTGTTGAACCGAGTTGGTAGGTGCAGACTATCTGATTGGGGTCCTCTTAATTATTACAGCAAATTGTTAGAAACAAAGTAAACAGTTCATAACCGGCCTAAATGCGTTCACTTAGTCATTCTTGAAATCTTGGGCCAATTAACACAGTTCCTTAAGTGTAGCATAATTTAATTGATGAGATATAACACGCAGAAGTAATTATCAATATTTTCGAGAAGCATTTCTACTTGTATCAAACAACTGAGATTGTTTTGTCGCACTGAACACAGTAGTTCAGCAACATGGTTTTTAATGACAGGGGAATTAAGTAGAATCGTAACAATTGTGCATACTCAACAGTAAGTAACTATTCACCCTATTTTTAGATAATTAAAACATTTCTAGAGATCATGAACATCTAAGACGACTAAACTCAGGGCACTAACAAAGGTAGTTTTCATCCATTTACATCATATTAAAGTTAATCAACTAAAAACAGTGTCAAGAAGATTTCACCCCTCAACATTACACAATCAATTGTAGATCCCACAAACAATATCGAAGAAAAGAACCTTAACACTGAAGCTGCTTACTATTTTAAAGGAAAAAGCATGTAGAAATATCAAACAGTTTAATTGATGCATTGTTAACAGGTATGGACATCTATGTCTTCACAACAACATGTGAATACTGATATGTTTACAAATGCTCAGAATGAAGTGCTCTGTTTTTAATAAAAAAAAAAACCAGATGAAAAAAACTAAACGTTTCTTAAAAAAGGCAATCTTACTAAAAAAAAAATGTTCAGACAAACATTTGAAAAGTACAAAATGTAGTTTTTGTAACTGAATAGTTTATACCAAAAAAAAACATTGATGTACGAAAAATATCTCATAAGAAATTCAAGAATTTGAATTGGCGGCTGCCGCGGCCGCTGCTTGTGTTGCAGCTACTGCGGCAGCACGTTGAGCACCCCAATGAATATAATCAGATCGAGTTGCTGCACTATGCTCTTCAATTAAATTATGAACAACTTGTCTACTGTCAGAAAATTCTTTTAATTCTGGATCATCACGAAATACATCTTCCTTACGAAATTGTTCAATAAAAGCACCACGAGTACGTAATTTATCATACTGAGCTAAGGTACGTAGAAAAAGCTGTAAACGATAGAGGAAGAAGATAAATAGATTGGTTAATTGAAATGATCACTTAAATAAATAGAAAATGAAAACAAACCAAGCAAATTAAAGCGGTAACTCGCCAATAACATTGGAAGATGGTTGTGCGATATCGAGAAGTGACTGAAACTTGACATGCAAATCATTGGATGCCGGTTCAGTGATCTAAAGGTTGAACACTCTTCGCGAGACCTAAGGGTCTTAGAGTTCCATATCCAATGGAGTCATGAATGTTTATTGCTGAGTCTTATATTAGAACGAAATAGTTATTCAGTACTTTTTATTTTCCAATGGGTGTCTAAGATCAGTCACGTGACGTAAACCATGTTATAAATATATTTTCGGAAAATAAACTAAAGGAATTTTGATGGGATCACTTAACTGGTAGTCATACTTAGTACAATTTATATTTTTATTGAAAATATTCTATACTTGGAATTTTCAAATTCATTTGAACATCCTTTTTCGTATATTAGAACAGTGTATTTCACAAAGTTTTGCAGTTTGTAAAACAATCACTTGCTGATAATGACCGGTAGAGTTTTAAACATATTAACAATGTTAATTGTATTTTATTGTATTGTAGACTTTTTATAACATGTATTTAGTGGATTGATATTTCAAACAGAAAAATTTTGAATAATCTATTATATGTGAATTAGGCAACCATTTAAAGCCAAAACATATGGTAAAATAGACTCTTTTGGGAAATTTGAATCAAGTATTTAGTGTCTAGGTTATGCTTGGTACTGGTCAAATAAACAAGGATGTTGAATTTCTGATAAATTCAAACTGTTTGGTTGCCAATGAAAGCAGAGAATGAACATCTAATATTTGACTGATGTAAATAATTTATCAAGTACAGATTTTCTAATGAAGTTTGAGAGCTTATGATCCTACCCTGGTGACCAGATAGAAGTAGGCAGGGTTCAAGACTGCATTCGAACAGTTGAAGGACCAGAGAATTAAACAATAAGTCAATAATCGACTCTGTCTGGCTAATGACTAAATATAAAGCTTGCTTTACTCAGGTTCAAAGAGGATATTATTTTAATTGAGGATTTATGATTACCATATTTGGAACATATGAAGACTAAACGAATACATAGATTTCTTTGTTGGCAATATACACTTGAACTCTAGAAATTTACTTCAAAGTTAATAACTAGTAAGCAAATGATTCTTGATAGAATAGAAATTGGTGTTTAATGTTTTAGTTTGAAGTTAGTTTTAATAACAGTCTTGTATAAATAGGGGAGTTGTTGAGAATCAGGGAGACTAACAGAAGAATTTGTGCGTGAGTATTAATCGAATAAAGACATTTTCTACGTGATTTTATAGAGCTACGAAATCAAAGATAAGTACACGTCAACACTTACAGTTGATATGCTTGTATGATTTGCAAGTAAAAGACCACTAACACGATGTGGTGTCTGAACATATGGAGATCGCCTAGACAGAGCGACTTGAATACTAGCTGGACCCCAAGGTATAAACTGAGCCATACGGCGTTCTCGAATCCTCTGTAGTGATTTATGTACTTCAGTAGGATCGACTTCTCCTGAAAGAAAACAGGTCAAGGTAGTTAAAAGCTGACTCGCGAAATATGTCGTCAGGAAAAGAGTTAGCTACAAATCAGATGGAGACACAACTAGTTAACATAAATATCAAAGACAAGACCTGATTACAGACAGACTGTCAGTAACATAACACATTATCATAATCAAGAACAAATGGATTGAGTGGGGGATCGACATGTTGCAAAACTATATATTTAGCATTTTCTAAAGTTTAATTCACTTTGATAAGCTATTTTAAAAGGGACAAACAGTTATTTAGAGTAATTAAATTGTTGCATGACAGCTAAGTGAACGTATGAGGTCTATTAATTGAAACTTAACATTTTAATTTCATATTGTAAGACATTCATACTATCATTAAGATCTGGTGACAGACCACAGAGAGACAAATAGTTTTCCAGGCGAAAAAGATTAGTTGATTGAAGTGGAGTGCAGAGAATGAGCGATCTTATATAATGTAATAATCGATCATGTAGTCACAGTATTTAATCCTTACCCCCAAATGCCCTAGGCGGGCCCGCCCTCCCTCTCGAAATACTCTCACACGGCCACGCGTATAAAGCCTCTGTCAGGAAATTCCTACTCACTGCCTTCTCGCACCATGGGTGTTGTTTACGAAAATGAGAGGACGAAAAGCGAATGTCCGGCGCTATAACCGGATCCCAAACCAATGGTGCACATGGGCTCCAGTATCCTGCGGGAACAAATGGCGTATGAACCAATCGTTGGTCACCGGCTACCATGGGACTGAATCTTCTTACGATGTTCCACTGCCTTATGGGTCAGACCTTTGGGTCAAAGGCTCCGAGTGTGGCCCCCTAAGAAAACCACCTGCTTCGGTCTGGGCACCCGGGCAGTATCACAGCCCACATACAAATAAAATGTTGTGTGGCGCATATATATTTGGTGCCCTCTTGTACCAATATTTTTGTGTTCAAATAAATAAATAAGTATTTATTCCTTGGTCCTCGTTAAGTTCTACACAATTCAATGTTCGCTAACTATTGAAAACTATTTTTTAATCTGGAATAGATATTGGGGACTCCCCATGGAGAAATATATGGAATAAATTGTCGAATATCTTCAATAGAATTACCATTATACAAGCACATAGCATTCTAATTATAACATGCGGGGAAAGCTGAACTAGGCGAGCATAAAAACAATTAATTACTTCTAAACAAAGGCTTTTTTGTTTTACCAATAATTGGTATTTCAAGAAATTCCTAGAAAGTAGCTACAGCTGTAGTTTAAATGTTAATCATTACAACTTAAACAAAGTAACATTTTGACCGAGAAGAGAGGTTGTGAATTCCATTTCGTACAAAGGTTTGTATCAGATAAAGATGGAAACAATAGAATAGAAACAGTAGTTCAATTTAACACAAAAGTAGTTTTTAAAGTATTGCACTTCTGTGCCCCACTTCATACTGAATTCATAAGAAATATTTGATAGTGCACTACAACTAAAATCAGGTTTTATTTAGAAAATGACTTAGAAATCTTATTGAACACGATTGGAATTTTAGAAAAACGTGTTCACTAAACTTCGAAGCCTTGTAGTTTAAGTCAGAATGATTTTACTATAACCTAGTTAGGTAATTTGTCCAGTTTAAATGTATTCTTTTTAAAAACAAGCTGATTTCATTATGTTATGAGGTTCCTCAGTAGTTAACACACCCACGACTTTACAGGGACTTACCAGTTTGTGTGTCATAGTTTGTTTGAGATGGCGGATCGCTATCCACTAGTGCTACAATGAAAGTTACAGACAAGTAGAAACAAACTTCCAGTCATTTAAAAAACAAGGGAAACATTTATCTTTCCTGTCCTATTAAAATCACCAAAGTAAATAACGGACTAATAATAATTAGATAGAAAATTACCTTGGATTATATTTAGTATAGAAACATAACAATGACTGACACCGCGCTGTGTTGGGGTGGAGACCATCATATTTTTTGGCTGTAATAAACGTCTCATGACATCGAATACAGTTGTCCGTCGAATAGTTGGAACTTCAGTATCTGTTGTTAATGGGGTATAACCAGTCATTAAGAAATGCAATCGTGGAGTTGGAGTTAGTGGAGCTATTAAACCAATTAAATCATTATTCATATAGCTTGGATAACGAAGTGTAGCTGTACTTGCAGACATCACTTTGGAGACCTTAATTCATAGTAGAAAGATAAGAGAAGCACTGATAACACAAAAATCAACTCGATAAAGTAGTAGTCGAAAATGGTTATTGACAGTAACCGGAAGCGAAAGCTGAAACTTGAGAAATTGTCTACAGTACCAAAGAAGACTTTCCATGAACATTGAACTTAAGGAAGATACTGTTGCAGGAATATTGAAAACTGGATTTCAAAATATTTGGGATAAACATTCTATTTCTCGAAATTTCGTAGTCTTACTCTAGCCGACCTATCATCCATGGGTGCGTTAAGAACCAAGTTCTGCTTTGGATCACATCAGTATACATCTTCAGTTTCACTTGCATTTGTAGGACAGGTTATATTGGCCGCACTTAGAGAACACTTCCCAAACGCATCTCAAAACACTACTTGGAACGTCTTTCCAAGAAGAACGTAAAATAATCAACATCTCAGTATATGGATATCTCTTCAATTCTGTTTACATAACCTTACTGGAATTATTTCTAAAAATAATTTGCACAGTTAAACGAATTGGATTAAAGGGAGCGCGAATTAAAAACTTGTGAATTTCAGAGACTTGAGCAATTCAAGTCTGAACTTTGTGTGCGAAAACAACACATACAACTAAGCATTCCTTCATGACCTTAAAAACCCTTTCATTATGGTCGGAGTAAAAAAATCAGTAATCAGTTGTTCTTGTTGTTACCTCCGCATTTCTAATTTGTTCTTTATATCTATCAAGTGGATAATTATTTCCCGCATTTCTAACTCATAAATTATTCTCGTTTTACTATCACATTTAGACTCATACGAAACCTTGTGATGCCTGGAATGTCCGAACACTTCCCAGTATACTGGTTTTACTATTTTTCAACCGACTAATACATCTTTTCAATCACCATAAATACAATTATACAGATTCAATAAATAATACCATTAAGAAACTTTTCTTTGCTGAATTGTCTTTCATTCTTCAGAAATAATTTTGCCAATAAGAAAAGTTTGTGTAATATGTATCATGGAATTTAGTTTACAAAAAGAAAATTATGATGAGACTTGGAAATTACCTTATTGGAACAATATAGAGCTGGACAAAACAGTTCAAGTAACAAAATTTCAAAACAATATAAGGGATGAAATAATAGGGATAGAAAAGGTTTTCATAAATTAATTTATGTCGTCAGTATCGCTACAATATCTTAAGGATTTTTTTATCCAGCTCTTTTCAAAAACTACCCCTTATTACACACATAATGAGGAGGAATAGGAAAAGTTTTGAACGTTGCGTCTATATCTTAATTGGTCTTCGAATAGAGATATACATAACTAGAACAACAAGTGACTGGATTAAAACCAGATCATTTAAAAAGCAATCATCTTTAAATACCTCGTTCAAACAGTAGCCACAAAGTAATTTAGTCAATAGAATTTGATTGGTAGACTAAACTAGATAATCATCAAGTTAGACTTATTTGATGATAAAGAAAGTGAACGGACAGTTGTTGAAACATTGTCACAACAACTACTACAATTATTATGAAGAACTAATGTTTTCAAAAGTGTCAACCCACATTTCTCTCAGGTTGACTTAATTTAACTCTCCCAGTAAACAGTTCAGTTACTGTTTAAATCACTGAGTCTTTCCATGTTTCAGCCGAAGTAATTTACGTGAAGTGGGCTGGACGTTTAAGTACACTTTTATTATATTCTTTAACTAAAATAAGAAGTAACTTTTTCCAGATTGAAAATGAGTTTTTACTGGCTGGAAAAGAAATACTTTCACTATTAGTAAAGCTGTTAGCTAACATATTAGACATATAGACACAAATCGAATAATCTGAGTGGATAACCGCAGATCTACCCAAAGTGATCCCTTTAACAAGCTGTTAAAAGTAAGACATACTTCTAGCATATCAAATTCGAAGTGTTTACAAACCATTAAGAGATTTTATAAGTCCGCCCTGTCAAATTGCAACAGTGTTGGATAAAATTCAGTTTAATTACAATCTTGGATTCATTGAAAAGATTTGTACCTGCTTCGGTCTGGGCACCCGGGCAGTATCACAGCCCTCACATATATCAAATGAGATATGTGTGGCGCATATGTATTTGGTGCCTCCTTGTACCAATATCCATGTGTTAAAGTGAATAAATAAATAATGAAAAGATTTGTAATGGTCATAACATGATCACAGATCCTACAAAGGCAAGTATCATCGTTCACGTCAAACAGACACAAAAACTCCAAATATATAGATGATCACTTTCATGTAAATGATACCTACCAGCTGATTGATTTGCGCAAATGATGGATTCTCAATATGTAAACGATCAGTAGCTATACGATGCAGAGCGGTATTATCTAGAACAACCTATTAAAAAACAAAGATTTAAAAAGACAGTTTTACAGGTGTTAATATATTCCACTGACTAATAACATTGTACGTTTAATAAACATGATAATTGTAAACAGAACACTATCAGTGAACCATATATAATATAAATGATTAGCAGTAAATCAAAATAATTAACTGATTGTTTTCACGTTTTGTCAATATGCAACAATAAATAACTGATAAAAATGAGTCTTTTTCGTACGTAATTGTGTTGACGTTTTTCAATTATTAATAACATTCTTTAGTGGATTTTTGCCGTTAAAGCTTGTGAAACATTGATGGCAGAAATTATAGAATATAATTAGCGTCAATAACTTATCATTATTTTCAAGGAGATGAAAATAAGTCTACTTAAAATTTAGAAATCAGCCAATTGACAGTATTTTGCAAAATAATGAATGCGAAATGTGCTGTTGAATAAAGGATACAACAAGATTGCAAACAATGTTTAATACAAGTCTATATTGACAGGAAATTATTGAAGATGAGGGAATGATTAGATCATGTTTCATTTCGCCCCACAGATAATCAGTAGTATGTGTAACCAAACCAGTTCGTCACTAAAAAATGAAACCATAAATTTTTACAACAGTGAACTGTATTTTCTTAATCTCAATAACTTATGCTTTTTAAACAATGCAAAGTAGTCAGTAGCTTGTATTACAACGTATGTAATGACTAACTAATTTATCTATATCATATGAGTAATTATCTAATAACATATCAACGCTTACGTTAACAATCTGGCAACATCTAAACGGGCAGAATATACTTGTGAACAATTGAACAGCATATAAACTTTTGTTAAAGATATTTCTGATAATTACTTACAACTACATAAATTTATTGTACACATACCTGGTGGTTATATGACTAAGAGAAATGATAAACTCCCCTTGTCTTAAAATAATTCTTATTTTTACACGATTTCATGTTTGGATAATTTAATACTTTCAAATTAATTTATATGAGGACAATGAAGGGAGTTTTATTTTCAATATTAGATAAAATAGGAATGAAACAGAAATATTTTAAGTATAGAAACAGAGTAACTGTTCAAATACATTTAACCAATATTTTCAATGATATGATATATTCTCTTAGCAGATCGTTTTTAAGGGATTAATTCAAATAGGAAAACTTACTACTTTTACTATGTCAAGGTTGCTATTATCTACGGAAAAAGATGTTGCAACTATAAAATGCATTGTGGTTGGATACAAGAATATATATAAATGATTTCGACAAAACAAGATGTACCACATAATAAAGTGGAAACAAACAAACCGGTTAGTAGTGATTCCAGTTTATATACAAATGAACTTTAGGTGTTATTTTCTCTTCGCATAGTTTTTAGTTCAAATATCTTTTTACTTAGGTTAATTAAGTCAAACTAGTTGTTAGGTGTATCCATCGTACGGTAAAGCTGGAGTACTAGAGATAATATTCAGGTTGACACTGGTACATTTTTTTGGTGAGAGAAAGGTACGGGATATATAATAAATATGCAAAAAATCATTACATAGTATTATATACAATACGAGGACTCACCACACAATCAGCATTCAAAGTGAGACGTTTTAGTGTTAACAAACTGTTATAAGGTTGAACAACAACATCACTAGTTTCTTCTAAATTTGGGAATACTGAATACGTTTGAATAAGTTTTTTTGGGAAGTGTGAATTAAGACGTTCAAGAATAAATGAACCCATCCCAGACCCTGTTCCTCCAGCGATAGAATGAGTCATTACGAAGCCCTTGTTAGAAAAAAGGTAGTACATTAGCACTAAATATATACAGAATATAAACTAACAAGTTAATTACCATTGAAAGTGTAAATACATATGGTGGGACTAAGAGACCTAATGCTTAACTAATACACACAACAGAATGTTAAGCTTAATAACAAAGTATGTAGAAATACAAAATAGTGACAGTACTTCTTCAATGAAGAATTTACGTTGCTAGCGACGTGTCTAAAATAATTGCACTATAGTATATTGGCTATATAATTGAAGCATTTGACTATGGAGTTAGGATTTCACGTACAGTGTAATTATATATCATGCCGAACAAAGTTATCCACAAATCTCTGACCAGTTCATCACGTGAATAATAACTATCTTTTGGCAACTCTTCTAGGATCTACGTAGATACATTTAGGGTTCTATAAATTACTAACTTCGGAATAAGGATTTAAATCGACATTATCCCATATTTTTGAGCTTAAGAGTGCTGAAATATTGGGGGGGGGGGCAGACGAGTAAACTAGAGTCATTTAACATCTTAATAACGGGGATATTTAACAGATGAAGTGTTCGCAAACTTCCTAAAAAGGATAAGATAACATAAAACTGTTCATGACAGTGAAGAAGTTTGGTTTTACTCTTTGTAACAGAGGAAATCTAAGAGAAGTGGTAAAGTGAGTCATGGAAAGAACGAGATGACATAATGAAATGGTTATAAAACGATGCGTTCACAAAGTAAAGAAAAGTAGATGAATAAAGCTGTTACTATAAATGCTTTTCGGTTATTCCACTTAAGGGTCACTAACCACTGATTCAGACTCCAGATACATGTCGAAACTTAAATAAACAATCAGAAAAGTTGTGAAATAGTGCTAGATCTTGATCTGATTGCCACGAAACTTTAGTCAGTACACTTTTATTTTAACCAATGATGAATATACAGGCAGGTAACAAATTGTTGTGCGTGTGGTGTATGCTACTTATGTTGACAGATATAAGTATTATGTAGCACTGGTCGGAAGTGGAATGCATGACAGCAAAAGATTAAGAGGATTCAATTGAAGAGAACAGAAAGTAATTGTAATGACAACAGAATTGAAAGAATCATGAAGCGTGTAAAGGACAACTGATGAAAGATGTGCAAGTTATGTATTTAAGGTATGGTTTCATATTTTACGAAAACACTCTAATTTTGCATTAAACAATAAATTCGTCTTCCCCACCTAATTTATCCGTTCACTACATGCGCAGCACGGCAGCAGCCAAGGGAGGCTGATGACAGGTAGTTATGTAGGGTAATGTTGGGGACGATAAATCCCCCAAAAACTCACATTTGTAAATTTATCGATTAACTTATCGATTAAATGTTTAAATATTTGAATAGCAGTCAATTGATGAACTTATTGATGAATGTTTAAAAATTTAAATGACAATATCGGTTATATATATTGTATATATACGTTTTAAATTGTTTTGGTTGAATCGCTCGTTTCTGGTTGTTGCAGAATATATTTCTCATTTCAAGCCTGGACTTCTCCCTCTAGATAGCTGGGGCTGGGACGCGTCAATAGTTAGCTTACTGGTCTTGGTCATCGAATCTCGTTCTCGTTCGCAAATCTAAGTGAACTCGTTAGACTTCAACCCTAACAGGTAATAAATCAGCAATCAATGTAAAGTGCTCTGAGAAACCCTTAGTAAGTGCAGTTAACGCTGCATGTCACAATAAAATGCCCTGGTACGGTCGAGGGTGGGGAGAGTCAGCTCTCCCTCTCGAAGTGCTCTCATATAGTCACACGTATACAAACGTCGCTAAGGAAGTCCTACTCGCTACCTTCTCGTGGCAGGGGTGTTGTTTACGAAATTAAGATGACGAAGAGCGAATGTCCGGCGCTTTAACCGGGTTGATGGACATACAGCGTCCACCTAGGGGAGTCGAAAAACCCTGATTCCAAACCGATAGTATATATTAGCCCCAGTAACCTATTGTTGGTCGCCGGCTACCATGAGACTGCATCTCCCAACGCTGCTCCATTGCCTTGCGGATTAAACCTCTAGGTCAAAGGCTCTGGGTGTGGCCCCCTAAGAAAACCACATGCTTCGGTTTGGACACCCGGGCAGTATCACAGACCTCACACAAATGAATGATAATTGCTACTGGCCTCATTGTTATTGTGTGGCGCATATATGTTTGGTGCCCCCTTGTGCCAATATTTATGTGTTTAAATAAATAATAAACAAATAGTTTTTTAATTCATATAGAAAGGATTAAAGCTTTATAAAATTGCTGAGTAAATAACTGACAAAAAGCTTGATGATCGAAGTGAAGGGTTAACTAGTTCCAATTAAAATTTATTACCTCTAAGCTATCACTCCCTTCGGCTTCACGATCAATAATATCAAACACTTCTTCCTCCAGTTTTTCACCTTGTGTATATCCAGCTGCCCAATTATTACCGGCACCACCTCCATGTTTAGATAAATATACATTTTCTGGATTGTAAAGTCGAGCATAAGGTGAAGATAATATAGTATTGATTACACGTGGTTCCAAGTCCAATAACACAGCACGAGGAATATAATGAGCATCATCTGCCTTTATAAGAAACATGAAGATGGTTTAATTCTGTGGAAAATCTTAGACACAAAAATACACGTTATTTTTCCTACTATAGTCGTTATTTTGGCATATTTTGCAACTTTCAAACGATAATGGTTTGGTTACTGGCTGGTATAACTAGACTAACAACCCCTTCTAAAGGTTATACATACGACCAGCAATGTGTGATATCTGAGAAAACTGAAACCATCGGTTACCCAGCTGAAATATTTCAAAATACAAGGGTAAACTCATGGAAATATAGTAAAGTCTGAATTGGGGCAAACAGAAATTGTGAATGAACAAAAACTGGAGTCATTTTCTCAGAGATTGTGTGGAGATAAGAACATCACACTATAAGTATAAGGATTTTACTACTCGCATCTAAGTTGTCCGTTAGTTTTACCATCAAGCAGGTTGAATGACGTGTGAAAGTAAGCGCTTTGAGATGAAAATTTTAGGTTCGTTTGGATCATGAATACTATATAGTTGAGCATAAGCGATATGTTAAATACTGATGGACATTGTTTCCTAACAGACATTGGTAGGCAAGAATGTTACTTGAAATGCTCTGTGAGGGAGTGCCCATGATAAATTTATTTACACACAAAAATCTATTCATTAAAACATCTATTAGGACAAGAATAATTTTCCTCTAACTTTCTGGTTCATAGTGCTTTGTGGATATAACACTAGAGGTTTTAATTTGTTACTCCGGAAACGCTTTTTAGCCTCGAGCTTGTGGAAGTATCATTCAGAAGTAGAATTGATGCTTCTGGAAGATTAACAGAAGTATACATTTACCCAAAGTATCAGTGAATGGTTGTCAAAAAAGGCACATTTTGGTGTATGTATCGGTAAGATATTGGTAGATAAACTCACTACTATAAAAAATTAAGATACATTTATCGCCTAGGGATACCATTCACCTGTCGAAACTACTTAGTTATGACAGGAATTAAAACTATGAATAAATTGGTGAAAGAGGAAACCATTGAACCACAGGGTGAAGAAAACAATTGACTTAAGTTATGTATTCTAAAACAATGTCCGGGTAACTATGTAAACAAAGGATGATTGAAAAGTATGCAAACTACTTGTGTGGAAATTTCTTACTCACTTGGTAGAAAAAGACATCTTTGCGATCAGCGTCACTTGTTGCGAATTCTTCAAGTGTACCTTCAGGACTGATTCCATGTTCAGCACACAGCTGCTTCCAAAACTCCATTCCGACTAACATTTTGGCGATACAGAGAAAATGGACAGGTAAATATTACGTGAAAGATAATAGTCACAGACTGCTTGTAATAATCCCCATAAAGGGATGTGCCTACTAAGATTATATCAAAAGCAGATATCTTTAGTTTCAGTAATTAATGTGATAATTCTGAACATTTCCTGATTTTAATATATACAATACAGTTAATCAAACAGGTTTTAGCACTTGCTTAACAGGTGAAGTTTATTAGTTTCGATTCTTATCTTTCGCCTGCATTTCTACAGCCTATAAACGAAGTATGTGGTAAAATAAGTCGCACTACTTATACACTGTACCTTCTGGTACTTGCTTCGTTTAGAAGCCTCAGATATCACTCCTACTGCAATTATTTTGGGCAGTTTATTTTTATTTGTTGCAGCTAAAAATATCTGAGAATTATTTACGGTTCAGATGAAAAACTAAAGGACTGAACTTTGATTTCATTCAGAGCAACACATGTTCCTAACTAGATGATTGATTGTTATGACCAGCTGACTTTGGAGCCTAGCTCAATATTTTTGGGTATCACTTCAGTCATGCGAATTCAACAATTTATGAAGCAAGTGGTATATAATACTAAACGTAACCATAAGATGTTTACAGACGATTGAGTGATCTTGTACTGAAGAGCTTAGGTATTCCAGCGGTCGTTTAAAAACTATAATTAGCGGCGGACAAATCTGTTAAGTTAAAGCCAGCCCATATCAGATAGGTAGACTTATATTTTCTTTAGCACTGATTGTAGTATAAGGGTAGGTCATTACTTATTGAGTCGCGATTGATGTAGTAAGCTTTGTATTTTTTTATTTTATTTGAACACATAAATATTGGTACAAAGAGGTACCAGATACATATACGCCACACAAATCTCAATTGATTTGTGTGAGGGCTGTGATGCTGCCCGGGTGCCCAAACCGAAGCAGGTAGTAAGCTTTGTAACTCTCGAAAACTAAGTGAAATGTACAGTTTATGGACTAGGGAGGTAGAGACGTTTTGAAGTGTCAGCTCGACAAAATGTCGCACGAATAGACGAGAAAAAGAAACCTTGTTGGATGTATCTATGGTGACATTTTAAGTCATATTATCCGGACATCAGAAACATGAATAGTTTAACAAAAAAATATCCCACTTAAAAACCGATACGAATGAAATTACTAGTCTTGCAGCTTGCAATATGGTCACTTCATCTTCAAAATAGTTAACTACTGAGTGTCATCATGATGTCTTGATTAGACAGCAGGTATATGAACGACTCTTGTTGAAAGCATACTCACACGATTGGACAGTAGTTTCGTCTGTCCAACTATTTGGTTGGAATCAAAACTTGGCGTAGTATTATTTGATAGCTTGACTAAGCTTTTCGGAATAGAAATGAATGATTTTAAAACAATCTGAACTTAAATATACATTACCAAGGTATACGGCGGGATTTCCACGAGGTTAATTGTAAATTCATTAACTTTATACAGATTGGAACAAAAAGCGTTTGCGCGCAGTAAAAGGCAATTAAGGAGACCCTATTTATGTGAATGTAGAGGCGTTTAAGGATGCCTTTAGTTCTATTTCTTTTTGTTACATGATTATACCTTTGCGAATGACCGGGCATACATTTATTCTAAAACCTAAACGACGATATTTGAGTCTCAGTAGAGGAAATTCATATTGACTATTATTCCCACAGGTGTTCTAGTAATTAGATATCCTCGATCCATGTTTTGGAAGGGGTCGGAAGTAACACAAGATGTTTAGTGATGCTAGAGTACACTATCAAGAAACTGGAGTCACGTAAACCACTGTAAACAGTTTGAAGAGCCTTACGAATTACTGGAGCTGTATGAACACCCAAGGACGTGACAGACGTTAAAAAGATAATCCACTATGATTCTTCACTAACAAGCCAGTTAATTATATGTACTTGCTCAGTATACTATGAGGAAAGTATATTATGGTTGAAGCTAGTGAGGGTCCATAAAACAAAGCCAAATACTCATCTGGCTTTTTTCAAACAAAGACAAGTTGCTGCAAAATAGATTGGCTAATTGTAGTGGTAAACGTCTCAATATATGGTAAGCGTGGGTTGTGTAAACTTCACTTATAAAATAAAATTTTCAGTCACAGCAAATCCACGTTGTTTTGACAAAAAGTGCATTTAAAACCCGTAACTAAGTAACAGGACGGGAGGAAAAGACAATATACTCGTAAAATATGACATACTTTGATTTCCACATTGTCCTAGTTGCAATGTAATAATATCGCGCGGCATCGTAGCGCACGGCCGAAGTACCCCGGTCTGAAGGACACAATTCAAATGGTTCAAATGGTTGTGGACGGAATAGAAGAAGCTTTCGCTGAACAGGCTTCCGTGTCTAGTAGCAGAGGATCACCAATACCTCCAGGCAAGAACCCAGGTATATTAACGATAAAAGAGAAAAAAAGAAATTGGTGAATCATAGTAAGATACTATCCTTAGTCCTTAAGAATAGATCAAAACGCCTCTTAGAGGGCTCCTGGGAAGTCGCTTGGACTAGCTCAGCCGGCAGCGAATTCCAGCATTTGAAAACTCTTAAGGAGTGGAACTTATGCCTGCAGTCCGTTCTGCTATGTTGAATCTCCAATTTCTGGGTGTTACCCCTTAGGTTAGTGTTGGGACTAAGCTTAAGTAGGTGTTTAAGAGGATGTCCAGAAGTATTAAGGATACTGCAAGCCATCAGAAGGTCATCTCTAAGACGCCTGTACTCTAATGAGTAAAGGTTAAGCGATTGGAGGCGCTCATCGTAAGGTTTAAATTTGAGTCCCCGAACTGATTTCGTGGCTCGCCGTTGGATACGCTCCAGAGTGTCCTTATCCTTTTGGAGTGTAGAAGGGAATACTATGTTTCCTTGCTCTAAATGGGGACTAATGAAACTATTGAAGATTATGTGGAAGGTTCTTCCGTCAAACTGACCAAAAATGCGCTTCAATGTTACCAGTGCAATGTTTGCTCGAAAGGCATTTCTGTCACAGTTAGCGTAAGACTTTAAGTCGTAAGGAACCAGGACTCCTAAATCTTTTTCGACTCAGGATACTACTAGAGGATTTTTCGAAGTTATAACTGTAGTCTGCGACGTGTCGCAGATGGACTACTTTACACTTTGAAGTGTTAAAGGTAAGTCCGTTCTACTACGTTGTATCTCTAATTCCCAGTATCTAACGTTAAACTTGTAGTGTGAGTAGTACTTCATCCTCTTACTTATCACATCTTCCTGAAGCCTGTTTTGACATGTCAAAGTCAGTTATTTTAGGTGAGCGAAGATGTTTTCAGGGATTTTTCACTGGTAAAAGTAAGAGTTGTAGATACTTTGAAAATGCTTGTTGAGATTTAGGAAGTAACGGGGAAAATATATAGCTCCATTGTGTCATATTACTCCCAGCAGGCACGCGCAGTTATTAGGTAAACTAACATACAGGGTGGGCATAGTACTGTAACCCTAAATGACTTTCTTAACTCGTGAACATTTAACATCGATGCTGACCAGTTAGGTTTGACTGGATACATCACCAGCTGAAGTCGTTCAGTCAGGAATCTTTGCTAGATTACTTTTAACTGTATCACGCAACTCATTACCTTCTATGACTAGCCAGCTTAGAATTTACACGTTTTGATACATTTAGTTGCAATCCAGATATATTTTTTCACACAGTGATTCTCATCTTCTACAATTGCCATAAGAGCATTTCGATAATGGAGACTCAGACACTGATACTGTTTGATTTCTTTGTATCCGAAGCCTCGTCAGGATGACCAGAGACATGATGGGTGTCATAGCCTAATATTAGGACTAACATGTTCCGTTAAACAACTAGGGATGACGAAGAAATGATCAAAAATGATGAATTCCCAGTGGGAAAATTAAAGTATGATTATTTGAATAAAACGTGGTCGGCAGCACACATCGTTACCCAACGTTATAGTTCTGCTCTATTACAATTTTCACTTCAAATGGCTTTAACAAAGAGAAACAATTGTTTTCTTCTGTCAAACATTTTATATTTGGATTGATTGAATTTCCTCATTTCAGTTGAGTTATGGAGTGTAATTCTCCGAAATGTAACTACCTCGCTAGTTATAGGTGTGACAATTTGTGTGCTCAGTGGTTATTTAGGATTCATAAGTACACTGATACCTTATGTTGGCAGTAATTAATTCCTTTTGCTTGGGTAACGATTTGCTTAATTACGTTTAAACTTTATAGAGAGGTTTTCAACAAAACATATTCACATGCAGAATCACTAGATAATATTTAGCAGAACATTTTAAATAATCAACGTTCGCCTTGAGAGCACCCGAGAAAAATTATATGATTCTCTTGGGGCACCCTGGTAATTTCATAATTCAGTTACTCATATATTCTGTGAAACTACTTAAGAGTCATTATAAACATTTCATATTTCTTAGGCCAAATTTAAGGGGTACTTTGTGTGTGACCTATTAAAAACTTGAGTTATAATCATTTGACTCTGATTTCATCTTAAGTGTGATGTTTAGCACCTTCGTTTTTATTAACTTTTAAGATCCGGTTCTCAGTATACACTTCCATAACACTTGATGTCACTGGATGAATCTGTCAAGTGGGCCTTCCGGTGTATTTCTGCACTTAAGAGGAAAAAGATATTATGACTAGATTCTATTCATCAACGGTTTGGGGTATATTACTTCCTTCTCATAAACGAATTTGGTCTGATATAAACTTTAGTAGCCTCTCAAATACTTCATTCGTTTTGACAGTCATACTTTAGAGGTTATTACCTGATTCTATAATTCGTGAGGACGTGAGAGACCTAAACCTTAGAAGCGCTCAAAGAACACGAGCTCCATCGGAAACCGGAATTTGGTGCGTTTATTTATAACTCCTGAAAGCTAATGACAAAACGTTTCAGGAACTGTCGATCAAGAAGTTATGGGTGTAAGTATGTTAAGTTTAGAATCTTCGGAACACTTCCAAAGGCAGTGGGGATTTGGTTGGCAACGTTGACTGCATTGATTTACTACGAAGCATTCTTGTATATTTAGGCGGTTATAAAACCAGTGAGTGGTGCTGGGTAATGATCTAGAGAAGTTTTTCTTTCGATTTATCTGTATTAATTGGATGAATACTGGTTATAACCATCCATTGCAGAAATATTTGGAGCTTGGATTACTCGTCGGTTATGAGTTTAGTAAATCTTAACTGGAGTATAAAATAGGAATCATGTTTATGAAATTGTACTTTAATTTTCCGTTTGTTTCAGAGGACACAGAGCATCTTGCTATTGGTATAAGATATGAGACACTGGTATTCAATGAGGGATCACTGTTGTTTCCTAGGTTCTTGGTTTAAATGTCTAGCAAGGTTGAAGGTGGGAACGATAAATGTTGCTGGACGTAGTTCAAGATGGGCTGTTAGCCATCTTAACCACTGACTGAGATTGTCATTGACGTGTGCCGATTGAGAAGCTTTCCTGTAAAAAGGCTTCGTTGCCAGTAAAACTAGTGTACGCAACTTTCCTGTACGTGTTGTCACTCGAATAGTGTCTTAATTTTTCTCCGTTTTGAGACAAGTATGAGTAATCTTTTGTAAAAAATCTAGATTAGTAGCTTTGGGACAAGTCTAGCGTTTTGGAAGTTGCAAAGCTTTGTGGCATCTATAAGTGGTTTAAAAGACACATGGGTCGCAGTGCGAATTTATCGTGATAACGAAATAATTATAAACCTCAACTCGAACATATTCTATTGGTGTGGTTGTAATTATTCCTTAGAGTTTCTTATAAATTAGTACACTTCGACGGTTTCTATAGGGCCAATGAAAATAGAAATCGATATGACTTGACGCCAGATCATGCGGACTAGCTATTCACATCATGACGAGTGAACTACATTATTTTACGTCTACTAATTTGGTGATACAAATAATTTCATTAGTAGCGAACAAAGCACTTAGCAATACTCATCGAGTTTAGGCGTTACGTAATAATTGCATGGTGTCGTGATGACTTATTATTTTTATGCTTGAGGAGGAATAGAGCAACAGGAGATCGTTTCCTAAAGTCAAACTAGCCAAGAGGGTAGGTGGAACTTTGAAAAGAATACATAGAAAATTTGCAGCCGGATAACGTGCCCATTCCTACAATGTTATACCAATCAGGTGTTAAAGAAACTTAGCGAAGATCCTGACTCACTATGCTAGACTGATTTGTTATGAAGACACCATTGTAGATGGATTGATTAATTTTCGTAATTTGCTAAATAGGAGTAGACATCCTACGATTTCATCAACAAACAGACGAAATAGATCAAGAGAAGACAGGATACATCTACCATTTCGAAAAAGGTACTACTACCAAAGAATTTGTAGCTCAAAAATCAAAAAAAGGCCGTAAAGAAAACATTTACTGCATCCAAACTGAATGTGGTATTTTAAAATTACCCATGAAACGGAACCATCAATAAAGAAGGACTACCTAAATTCATCACACTCATGTGTATTTACCAGTTATATGGAGCGTGAATCGGAAGTCTGTTACTTTAAAGGAGTGCTCCATCCGTCTTGGTTCAGCGAAAGACAGGTAAGAGTGGTTAAGAGTTCAGTTTTCGCCCACTGAGTGGACATCAATTCGGCTTGAATAAAGTTTTCAGAGTCGTCCATTACATTACATCAGATTTACTACATGGTTTATGAGTTTGTCTTTTGCATATCGCTGAAACTTTCGGATTCCATATTCATAAAAATAACCTTAGCATCCACAAAAAGTTTGTAGTGGAAAATGAATCACCGAAATAAATAGTTCTGTAAGTCTTCTATATTGATGCTGACCTCGTCGGTTTTCCTAGACACACTCAAGGTCAAGGCACTTGGTCACGCATCCCTTGCAACTGTCAACGAACTTGGACCAAACGCTTCTCAACATATCAATAGCCTTCCAAACGTATATTCGACCCTCTCCATTTCTGACTTCTGATTTGACTGGGTTGATATAATTCGTTTACAAAGGTGTTATGCGTAAGCGCATTGTCACACTCCAAATACCTGTGGCATCTTTAAGCTTGTACAAACGTTCTCACTCTCTTAGCCATAGATAAGGGAGTGAGTTTTAGCTGAACTTTCGTTAAATTCTACCTTTCAAAAATGTTCAAACACTTTAATAGTTTTCTCCACACTTATATTTCCATGTATTCACAACATCCGTCTCTTGATTTTTACATCACTACTATAATACTGACCCTTCATAGAAATATTTCGTTGGTCCTTTTGACACAATATGTAGTGTATTAACTGTTTGAT